AGTTCTTGCCACCTCTGCTGACCTAGCAAAAAGTTGCCAGTTTGTGCTGTGGAAAGTGACCACCAGCTCCCAACTACTTTAGTTATTGTTTAGCACAGAAGTTTGGATTCGATGTGTGTAGGTGTAACTTTTTAGTGTCTCAATGCTTATTTAACCCAGTTATCATGCCTATTTCAGTAATTTTGGAGGCGATAACAATATAGAGATTGTATTAATAGTATATATAGTTGTAGGTCTGCTAGTTCTGTTCTAATTTTGAAAAAAAAGCAGGGGCCATCTTTGCATTGCCAGAAAAGAAATAATTTTCTAAGAAATGTAAGTTAGCAGAGGTAGTTGTTTTAATTTTCACCTCACAGGTATTTCAAGAGGAGTTGAGAGGCTCCATTCCTTTAGACTTTGCAGCTAGGGAATTTTTAAACACCAACAACGTAGTAATTTTCTTCTTACTCCACACATAAAACAGTGATATGTGAACCTATCTTTCTTGTTCTTCCTGCTCAAAACTGGTGGAGTTTCATCCCCAAAACTTTACTATAAATCTTTATATAGTAAACACAAAACACTATGCACACAAAGCATTTCACAAACAAGCTTCAATTCTTTATTTTTATATTGGGCCTGTAGTCCATAAAATAAAAATGGGACCAACTCTTACTGCTCAGGTAAAAGTTTTAAATATGTTTTAGAACTTAAAAACTGTAAAATACAGCATACACAGCAATAGTGTGCTTTAAGAAAAACTTCATATTTCATTACATGGTTAGACAAACAGATGCAGAGCTCCTATCCTACAATCTTATTTCCAGAAAACAAACATTAGGAGCTTGCTATTGCACACTTATCTGCTTTTACTCTTTTCACTGTATCTTCTACACTGCAACATTTTGTTCCTGTTGAGATTTTCAGTTCATTGTTTTGTTTGTGTGCGTGCTTAGCAATGAGCTCAAGGAGGTTGATTAGAGCTTCTAGACTCTATGGTAACACAAAATACTTCAGCATTAATTGCTGATATACACTATAAGATATACACCATAAGATTGTTCTTGTATTGTTATAGCACTTCCTACCACAAAGGTTTGCAGGGACTTCACTGAATAACAGATAAATGTGCAATGCTTAGCTAAAAAAAATCACTTCTGCTGCTGATGTAATACAGCCATGGGTGGACTCGAAGAGATGGCAAGTTATTACCAGAGACCTAGGAACTCCGGTCATAGACCAGAATATCACTCCATTCCAGACAGTGCAAGTGAATCAACAGACCTATTGAGCACAAAGAGTTTCCAAATGGCTAAACAATATACCCCAAAATAATGGGATAATATTGGTTAGTCTGATACACAGTGCTTTCAGTACACCAGTAGCCAGACTATCATCTCCTTTTTGGTAGACATTTTGGAAAAGGAGTGTGCAGAAGGATTTTGATAGAGTAACATGATCATTTTGTAGATGTTTAAGGGAGCTCCTCCCAAACATGGAAGCAAGCATGAAGGCACTTTTTTTGAAAAATGTAACAAGTGGACAATGGAGGCTGATATTACAGGCCAGAATCCTGCCAGAAGCAGGATCTGACATCAAGAGTTAAAGAGAGAAGCAAGGCATGAACAAGCCACAAAGGGCCCTGAAAGTGAAAACAAGCAGCTTACACTTGATGCAATAGAGAAGGGAAAGTGAGGGGTGACATGGGCAAAGTGATAACCCAGAAGAGCAATCTTTGGAGTAGCATTCTGAGTGGCTCAGGGCAGGGTAAGAGCCAAATGATGTTGCAGTGAAAGTGAGGTGCAAGATAGTGAGCCTTGATTAGCTGTAGGAACAGCATTAACTTGGAGATGTTGTTTAGAAACAACCTGGATGTAGGGACCTGGAGAAGTCCCAGATAATAAGTCAAGCAGGTTACAGAAAAGATGGCAGGATTGGAACACTGTTGTTCTGTAAGGGTCCAAGGAATATAAGAGGGGCAAGGATTTGTTTTGGCAATACCTTTTATTGGACCAGTTGTATAGCTGGGAGAGATGTTAGATGATCTTTGAGGCACAAAGTGCCCTTGCTCAGGTCTGGGAAAAGGATGGCCACATTATCCACTGTGATTAAGGAGGCAGCAGGTAAGGCTTGTGAGGGAGTTTTAAGCGCTGTACTTAGCCATGTTGAACTTGAGCTAAGGGCTAGATATCCACAAAATGTCAGACAGCCTCAAACTATATTTTGAGTAGAAGACAGGTCTGGTCTGGAAAGCTTGCCACCATTTGGCCAGCTGCACCATCAACATGAAAGCCAACAAAAAACAAACAAAAAAAAGATGGAGTATTGTGAGAAAAAGAAGAGACAGCTAGGAATCCAGATCAAGATCAAGTCTGCTGGAAGGGGTTGGAAGAGACAGAGGTAGATGCACAGCAGTTAAAGAGTAGAAAGAAGGAGGATGTAATGGACTTGGAGCAACTTCTATGATTCAACCAAAACACAGAAGAAACTCCAAAATCTGCCACAAGGTGCATAAGAAAGGCAGCATCAGACAAAAGAATTCAGGTCTCAGAGTCAAGAGGCAAAAAACTAGAGAAAACAAAATATGAACGGTAGATGGAGGAACTCTGTAGAGCTTGAATTATAAAGCTAGAAAAGGGAAGGACAGCAGGAAGATGCACACAGGGTTAGGCATGGTGGAAGGGCCAGACTGGTTCTGGTCAAATTTGTCTCAAGGAGGCAGCAAAAGAACGTGAGGGTTTGGAATCTGGATTCATGCTGTTGTGAGGAAGGGGTGGAGAAGCAGGGAAGAGGTGCAGGTACAATCTATAGGAAATATAGAACAGCGATGGTGAAAAGGATAGGGAACATAAGGGGAAGGAGTAAGACAACAGGGGAGAATCTTGAGGGGCAAAAGAGAGTAAAAAAAGTTATGGATGAGTGACAGATGAAGATTACAAGAGACAAAATACTGTAAGGGTAGGTCCGTTATAGCTACATACAGCAACTAGATTAGGGGTGGATAATTATTTTGGCCAGAGGGCCATTTACAGAATTTTATGTGCTGCCACAAGTTGGGTCAGCACCTCTGTCCCCCCCGCCCCCACAGCTCACCAAAACTCCCTAAGTGGTCTCTATGCGCAGCTAGGATGGGGCTGCAGGCAGGCGGGGGCAGCATCCAGGAGTGGGACAAGTGGGCAGAGCTAGGTCTAGGACTGCATCAGGATCCCAGGGCAGTCACAATGCAGGGCTGGGGCCAGGGCAGAGCGGAGCCACAATCCACTGCCCACATGTCCCCGAGTGGAGAAAGTATTGAACAGAATTGGTGTGCATAGGGCTTGAATAATCAATAGGTACAATCAAACTACTTCTGGCAAGCTCTTAAAACCCATATGACCAAAAATTAGACATATACTCATATAATTCTGTCACTTTCAACATAAGGAAGAGAGCTGGTAGCATGCAACTTCTGAAGAAGAAAAAAAAAAAGTTACTTATGAAATAGGCAATAATTCTTGTGGGTGATATCTTTCAGTTTGTGCAACTGTGTTTTGAGATTTCCAGAACTTCCATTCTTTTAAATGAAATGTAACCAATTTCTAGCAAGTTTGCTTTCTAATATGACATTTAAAAAAAAAAAAAAGTTTCTACAGCAGTTTCCTAACCACTTCAAACCACACAATTACTAAAGAGGAACAAGTTTACCCTGGATTTTACTCCAGACTCTGTAGTAAGGAGCTGACACAACCAGCTCTCCCAAGTTAGCTGGCCATGTTAGGTGTTATTACAGCACTTGGCTGCTAGGTGGCCAGCAGTTGAAACTGAGCAAATTCTTCCTGAGAGAGCAGACAGCATGCTTTTCAAGGGGTAATTTCCCCCATGTATTAGTCTGTAGCACAGCTGTACTTCAGGTCTATTTTTACTGTGTAGTGAAGTGTATAGTGTCCATACCCTGAGTTACCTTTGTACAAGTGTTGTCACAGGACAGGTTAAACTGAAGAAAGCATGCATAAAGCAGTCATAATGATGAAAAGCTGGGGATAGTTTTGTATCTAGAAAATGTCCTTATTCCAACAGCCACAAACATTTATTCTCACTGTATCCTGCCCTCATATGCCCTTTCCTCCTGCTCAGGTAGCTTGTTCCAGCAAGGATTATTCTGAACGTGTGTTGCATTGTAGGGTGCTGGACCATAAACATGAGATTCCTTTCAAGGTTCCAAAAATTGCATAAATAGCAAAAACCTTGAAAGGAATCTCATGTTTATGGTCATACCTCTAAAGGCTGAACCCACTGTGTTCTCCTTCAGAAGCACACATCTATATTGGTGCAGTTTATAGGCATGCACATGTTTACTGGCCTTTCTAGCAAGCCCCTTAGTTTCCAGATGTTTGTCTTTCTAAGCAGACAACATCCTAGTATACTTACCACCAAAAGTAGGAAAGACTATTTACCTGCCAGAAGGTTCAAGTTTTCCAACAGCAGTTAACGCTAATACTCAAGTCAGCAGTAAGGAGCCAAGTACCTTAAACTGCTCCAGAGAAATATGAGTCAATATCTCAGCAGGGCAAATAAGGCATTTTCTCTTATCTTTGTTTGAGATGTATTTGCAATTAACCTATTATATACTGCAAGAGTAATGAGGATTTCACTCAGTGTTTTGTTAACAAAAAGTGCTTTTCAAATGGTGCTCATTTTCAGAGGAGCACCTTTATTCCAAGACAAAAAAGTTCTAAGAGACTTCTGGCACATGCAGGAGTTTCTTTACCTTGCAATGTCAGCTAAGTTAGCCTCACTGAAAAAGTACCCAGGACTTATTTCCACCAACAGATCTGGAGGAAGGATCTTTTTCATTAATAGCAGATAATAGACAGTGAGAAATAGTATTCCAAAATTTTAATCAACATACAAAAATAATGTGGAAAAAACCAAAGTTCTTCAATAGAAAATATTATATTATTATTTAAATGTCTTTGATCTCTAAATTTGTTTAACAGTAATCATTGCAACTCTCGATGCCCAAAGGGAACTTGAGTTATAAAATAACTCTAGATTTGTCCATTCACAATATGTAAAAGGAGTAACATTTTTTTCTACCTTTAAACCTTTGTTTGCCATTGAACAGTAACCACTTCCTTGTGAATGCTCTGTCACTGCTTACTAAAGCGTGTTCAAAATCTGCCTTAGCTGAGCTGTAAAGAGCCCAATGGGTAAGTTTTCAAGGGCACCGGTGCCTTGTCAACTCTTGTATAACAATCAGACCAAGCCCCAACCCCTCAAAAAAAACACAAAACTCACCAGTGTCATTTGTATTCAAAAAATCAATTACTGTCTTCTGGAACTGCAGTGTTATAGCTCCTCCAGCAAAAACAGAGCAACCTATATGGCAAAGAATACTGGTCATCCAGGTTTAAAAAACTGTGGTACAAGGGCTTTCCCCCCACCCAGTCCACTGTTATGTATTCTTTTGCAAACTCAGTCTTCTGTTGAAAAGCAGTCTTCTTCATCCCTCACTTCTCTGTACTGTTTTGATGCCTCCCCCTCTGGTTCATACTTGATCATTTTAATATTCAATCTTTCTGCCAGCTTTTGTGCTGCAAGTTTGGCTTGCATCTCCTAAAATAAAACAAAACAACACAAGAAGACCACAGTGAGAAACTCAAACAAGTTAAACTAAAATTTAAAAATCTGTCATTTTAGTTTGGATGTCAAAAATGCTACTAGAAGAAAGCGTCATCAAAATCCCCGTAACTCTCAATTATGCTTACTTCTGGGATTAAACTCTGCAATTCTAAAGATATCTGCTGGGGGAAATGAAGTTTAAAAAAAAAAAGTTAACACACATCACTCCACCAAATTAAAAATAAATGGTTTCACATTTTTTTTTTAAAAGCATAAGCAGCCACTCCCTGCTGCTCTTCTCAGAGAAACTCCAACGCTAGTGGAAGTTTGCCCAATAAATTTAACAGAGAAATATCTGGCCCACATATGTAATTATCCTGCTTAGATACATTGCTAACTGGAAAGAACAGTTTTACTGGAAACTGAGGCCTGTTGCTACTCCAATAACTACTTTGATTGCAGTTTCCCAAATGTATCAGTCTCCCTCTCTGGAACAAATCAGAAGATGAATTAGCAAGTGTTCATAAAATATTAACAAGCAACATGCTGAAGCTAAGTGGCCCAAAACTAAAAAGACTTTACAAGGAGGACCAGCAAATAACTATAGCTACTTCCACATTTTGAATGTCAGATATTCCTTTTGTTATCATCCATATGAATTTTGATCTCAAAAACAGAATTTCAGCAACTAGTACTTTTGTTAGAGGGATATACAGCTGGAATTCAAACTAGGAGGTAAAGAGCTGAAATTGCACTGAATTTATCATTACTACATACAAAGAATTTGCTGCTTAATAAACAGCTCTAAAAAAAAATTAATCTGAGAACATGGTTATAGAAAAAAGTGCATCTAACGTGAACAAGAAGGGGAGTCTCAGTTAGTGTACTGGTATCAAAGGTGTCACTTTTATACTTTAGCTGGCAAAAGACAGTTATTTTCTAGACCAAACATTAGACATCAGCTCATACCTCATAAGCTTCTTTTTGTTTTATCTGAATTGCTATGGATTCTTCTATGGATAACAACTGAGCAGGCACATGGTGTAGTGGTGGCAACCGGGCTGCTGTGACATCATTCAAGTGTTTCTTATCTCCGAGTCGTCTTTCTTCAGCAGAAATTGGAGTCCCAGGACCTCCAGGTGAATGATCAGGTGAGGAACCTTGAGATGACCCATTTAACTCAGACAGTAATCTAGAAGCAAAACAAATGTGAAGCTGTGATCCATATTTGCAATGCAGTTCAATAAAGCTTCACAAGTCTAGAAACAGTGGTTTATAATACCGAAAGGCTAGCAAAAATTAAATGGGCTCTGTAGCAGGCTGGGGTAGGCCATATGTAGCAGAGACTGCAGCTCAGCTGCAGGCAGTAAGGCAAGACTACATGCCTGCCTAAGGTAACAGGCTGCAGCCCAGATGCAGGTGGTAAAGCAAGACTGCATGCCTGCTTAGGAGGACTAAGCAACTAATCAGCAGGGATCTGGGGTTTCTCCATTTGCATGAAAAAAAACAAAGGTTTTCTGTTTTAAAAGAGAAAAATCTGAGAAACCACAGGTTTCTTGCAGGCTGGCAGAGATGTTGCAGGTGGTAAGGTAAGACTGTATGCCTGCCTAGGACTGAACAGCTGAGGAGGATAACTGGCTGATTAAGAGGAAGTTAAAAGCTCCCAGGGGAGAGAGGTAGGAAAGAGAAAAGGCTGGGAGACAGATGTCAGCACTGAGCCAGAACATTCACTCTGTATCTGAGAAAGGACTGTAGGGTAAGGGTTGACTCTTTACTATTGATGTCTTTGTTTGTGTAATGATTTATGATTGGTTGTACCCTGTGGAGCAAGCTGGCCCCATACAAATAAAGAGTGTGTGGTATAAACAGATGAACTGTTCTAATCTCTAAATGAGACCATATAAAATAGTAAGCTATAAAGCACTTATTTTGGAAAAAAGCCAACTAATTTCCACAATGCATCAATAAATGAATACAACCAGTTTTATTAATGCAGGAAAAAAACCTAGGGGTTAAGTAATCTTTCCAGTGCTGCACAGGGAGGCACTACTGTACCTGGAATTAGACTTTAGGAGTCCTACGTTGGTACCAACCTATACAAAACACCACCAATTTCTATTAAAGCTTTTGTTGGAATCAAGAACATGTTATTTCAGAAACTGCTCCAGCAGAATCATGCCTTTAAGTATAATCTCTTTACACACATGAATTTCTAATACAACTGTAAAAGAATAGCTCGTCACATACCACATCTCCCTAGCCCAGCTACTCTCCTTACTGCTTTCTTCTACAGTTACTCTTCTATGGAGTGACAACTTTAGGTGAGTGCTTTTAGGTGGCTGACAGTCTTGTACTTCCATATCCTTTGTATAAGTCTTACCTAGATTATGGTCCTCTCCTCAATTATAGATATGCATTATAACAATTCTTCTCCTACACATAGTATAATATTGTAGTTCTTAGTCTTTGTAGACTAGAGGCAACTGCAGGAGAATGCTAGCTTTTAGTTTTCACGCTTTTCTTGCTTGCAGAAAAATGGATGTTTTTCTGTTGCAAAGAATTCATAAGAACCACAACTACAGATTTCTATTTGCAATTGGTTTTTCTTCCGAATTACATTTGTAAACTTAACAATGCTAACATTATATGGTACCCTGCAGCACTGTGGCACCCTGGTTAAGAGTCCCTGGCACAATACATTTAGTAAAGCTACCAAACTCAGTCCTATCAGAACTAGAATTGCAAGTTAAGGGGGAAAAAAGGGGTATCATTACCATAAGTTAGTTACTCTTGAAAACTAACAAAGACATTTCAGTAAGTGGCACACCTGACTCAAGTAGAGCTCTGGTTGTCTAAAATAGTAACAATGACCTCTGTTAACAGAAATCTAGATTCTGAGCAATCCTGAAAGATGACCACCTGCTATCACACTTTAAAAGTAAACCTGAAGATTTGTTAATTGAGCAATTCCTATGTAGCCAGGACAAAAATAATTAAGTACACCAATACATCAGTCCAGATCAGCACCAACATAAAGAAAATTGATCATAATCAGAAGTCTGCCTAATGTGACCAATTAATTTGGCCCATTAAATCCCTGTGTACAGCCCCACAGCTTAGAGCTGTACACAGCTGGTAAGTCTGGTGGGGTGGAAGGGGAGGGAAGGGGGTGGCTCCTACTGCTGAGTGCTACTCTTCCAGGAGCCACTGGTCCAGTGCTTGTCTGCTCATCGAGCGGCTCCCGCCACTGCTGCTGCTTGTCCAGGACGGCATGTACCCAGGATGGGGCAGGCTGGGGCTAGGGCTGTGTGGGGTTCTTCCTCCCCTGCCCTGATCTGAGGGCACATGCCCTGGCCATGCCCCCACCCCCAGATGAGTGGTGGGAGCAGCAGCAGGAGCCACTGAACGAACAGGCAAGCACTGGACCAGTGGCTCCTGGACAAACAGTATACAGTAGCAGGAGCCCCCCCACTGTTTTATACTACTGCTAGTCTTGATTAAATTACTTACATGTTTGTTTTAAATTTAGGTTTTTTAGCTACTGGGTTCTTGGCTCTTGACTCAAGAATTTCAATGTAATGCAACTTTTTGGGCAGTTTCGTATGCAGGCTTCCAAAGGGATTTTCCTTGACTGCAGAAACATGCTGTTCTTTTTCTGATGTTCCTTCACTGTTATCCCCATAAACAATTGTGAAACTTTGAAAGGCATCAACTAATGCACTGCCACTGTTGCCTAACGTCTCTGCAGCACCTTCTGTACCAGCCACAGAACTACTTAGAGATATCTGTTGATCAGTTTTCAGCAGGCTGGCTGTGGATGACTCTGGCCTGATTTCATTTCCAAGTGGGACTTTTGTTGGCCTTTCTACAGAGCTTTTGATTTCATCATTTTTCCCATGACCCTTCTCATTTTCAGAAGCTGCATCTGTGAGTCTTTGTCTGGTAAGTTCAGCTTCCTGGTTTTGCAACACCACCTTGGATCTATTTACACTAATAGAAGAGTTCTTGTTAATGGCTGCAAATGCTTCATTTATCAGTTTGTTCTCATTTAGCTTGCTTGTATTAGTTTCGCCTTGTCTTGCCTGAAACTCCAATCTCACAGTAGACAGCAGTTCAGCTGTCCTTATTACTTCTTCCTCTTGTGCAATAACGTGTTTGAGCTTTTCAGCAAAATCGGAGATCTTTTTCCCTTTGTCTGGGAGTCTATTAATAAACTTCCTAAAAACATAAGAAAAAAATTGTGATGACTGAACAAAAACACTTCTGGCATACACATATGTAATATCAGTTGGATGAAGCCAATGGCTTCATAGAAACATAGTATAACTTTTGTGTTTCTCTGAAAGCATTACAATACTAACAATTGCATGTCTGTGAAGTCTGTAACCTTAGAGATTCATTGCTTTAACAAAGACAGTAAATAGTTTTCCCACACCACTAGAAACCATTACATTTTTTTGTTTACAAGTGGTACAAATATTTTATAATGATTTAAAGTCAGACGTGATGAAAGAGAAATACAAGACTGAAGTGTGCTACAGTTACCTTGGGTGACAAAACCATCAGCTTATGTACAAGCTAAATAAGTCACTTCAATTGCAATCCTGACACCCTGGACCAGACTCCATGCATTTGGATTGTCCTAACAAAGCTATTAGTAGCAAACTAATTACAGAAGCACTTTTGGGAGACTGTGTGCAAGGAGCTGAAATGCTGCGATTCTGACAACACTGATTTAATACTCAGTGGTAGCTCATGCCAAAGGACAAGTTATTTAACCGACTCCACAGAGAAATCAAGTCAAGCATGATTAAGTCCATCTGTGTAGCCCACCCTATACCTGAAGAGAGAGACCAGGCCAGCACACCTTTCTGGTGTAAATACATGTTATCCCAGCAAAGGAACGTGTGCCAGCTCCCCGGGCAAAATAATTAGGCTACCATCAAAGTGTTTTTTCTAGCAAAACTGTCTTGAGCTGATGCGCAAGTAGTGGCTGCACCCTTAAGTCACTGCAGCCAGGGACCAGTCCAATGCCTGTGGGGCACAGCCGTAACTGTGCCTGGGGCAGGGCAGCGATTTTCATTGCCAGCATGAGAGAGGAGGACTGAGGAAAGAGACCACTTATACTCCAGGCCAGCTGGGCCCCAGCTCCCCAGGCTCCTTCTGCAGTTTCTATGGGCTGGCTTGGAAAGCGGTGACGCTGCTGGAGCAGGAGGTGGACTGGTCCCCTGCAGCCCGACACATCCATGACTGCCTGGGGCGGCCGAGGCAGCGCCGGGCAACCAGACTCTTCACAAAGGGCCGGGGGGCAGCCGGAGGCCGCATCGCCGCGCGGGGTCCGCTCCTTCCTCCCCCGTTCCCGGGGGCGCCGCCTCCACCGTGGACCAGGGCCCGGCAGCCGGGCGCCTCCCT